GGGGGGGGAGTGGATGCCTGAGTATGCCAGAGCTTTTTGGAGCCTGCATGACTCAGAGAGCAGGCGTGACGGCAGTGGTGGGCCTGGGCTCAAGAGTGTATGGGGTTGGAGGGTGATGTGCAGCTGGCTGTGTGTGACCAAGCTTGGTGTGTTAGGGTGCAGCGTGGTGCCAGCACATGTCTGCTGTGGAACACGCTGCAGAAGGGGGCAGAGGGGAGGGATAGGAGACTGTGTTCAGCCTGTGCCATTGTAGGATGCCCCATGGGTTCAGTGCTGGGTGTGGCAAAACAGGGCTCACAAGGCGCAGGCCTGTGCTGCAGAAAGGAGTCCGGCGGTCCATTGTCCTGCAGAACATGTCAGAGAGTCAGGGGCCAGCCCCGGGCAGATGTATCAGCCACCACCAGCCTGGGGGAGGAAGACTAGAGGAGAGCAGGCCCCACCTGAAGGGGCTCTGAGGAAACAGGCTTCTGTGAATGGGGAGGGGTGGTTGCCCATGGGAGCCTGGAGCTGTGGGAGATGCCCAGGCCAATGTGGTCACTCCCTGGGGCCTCTCCCTCGGTCCCATTCAGTTGACCTGACCATGGCCAATGTCCTCCAGAGGGGGCTGATTCTCCCATCCCAGGATTCCACAGCCCCCTCCGCAGGAGTCCTCACTGAATGGCCTGCTAATCCCTGGCTGTGTGTGAGGACAACGCCTCAGGAAAAGGGGCCCATACCCCACCCGCCCTGGAAGCAAGGCACAGGGACCCCACAGTACTTCCTCTAGGCCTGCCCCTCCATGCTCAGAACCTTGCCATGCATGTTTTTTTCTGTCGTCAGTGTGGACCCCTCTCCCCACTCCTTCTGTCATCCACCCACATGCCCAGATCCTACTTCAAGTCAACATTCTAGCAGTGGTCAGCAGCCCCCTTCCCATAAGCCATGCCCTGGCCCCGTGACCTCCAGCATACACACTGCGAAGTCCTAATCTCTGATATCCCCTCTAGCCATCCATCTCTCTTCCCAGCTACTATTTACCACCATGCCCAGGATGCACACCTTCCCAGCTTCTCTGCCACCAACCCTTCCATCTGTACCTCCTCTCTGCACAGCCTGTCCCTCAGGACCAGGACTGCAGTCATTCTCTTGTCACTACATTCAATTTCCTTGTTTCTTGTCCTCCTGGTTCTATGCTCTTGGCCAAAAAACCAGCCATGGGGGGATTCCATACCCATCCTCTTTACTTTCCCTGGTCTGCTAAGCACCTTCTACTGAAAATGGGCTGGAGGCCTCAGGCTGACGTGACCTCATCTCCAGCCACCAAGCCACCAACCTACCTGTGACTGCAGCCACTGGGCTCTTTGCCCTCCTGCCACAGTGGGAGAAACACGACAGTCCCCACAGAGGCCCTCACACTTACTCTTCTTCTCCTAACACCACTCCTATCCTATGACTCCCCTGTCAGTATGCAACCAGCCCCAGCCCTGAAAGAGAGCATCAAGTGAAAGGAGCCCCTCCTGAGCTTCCTGCCACCTCCCTACTACTGCTCAGACTCTTCCACTTCCTCTCCATCTACTCTTCCCACCATCTTGCCATGTAGTAACTCCCTGAAAAGTCAAGATGACTCCATGAGGATGAATCCAGGGGGCCCTACCCTCAGCCTCTCAGCACTGCTGACGCAGCCAAGCCCCCCACTTCTGTAGAAGCCTATGCACATACAAGTCATATATGCATATGTGTGTTTGTGTACACAGGTACACAAGTGTGTGTGTGTACTCATGCAGGAGCATACGTGCATGCAAATAGGTACATGGTCTGTGCCTATGAATGTGTCATGGAGTATATGTGTGTCTATGTGAATGTGTGTACATGTTTAGACGTGTGTGCCTATGAGTACATGTGTGTGCGTATATGTGTGTTTGTGTATACGTATGTAGGTACCTGTGTTACATGTGTGTGCAAACTCCCTGCGGCTGTAGCTGTCTGTGGCTCTCCTATTTCCTTCCCCAGCTGCTCTGTTTCAGTCTCTGTTATTGTCCCCTCACTCATAGCCCTGGACATGTTCTCCAGCCCACAACTTCAGTGTCTGTCTTAACACTGACAATGCCTGCATCCCCTTCTCCAGCCCAGACATGGCTCCTGAGCCCCAGACCCATGTGTCCAACCCACCCAGGGGTGGCTCCCACCACAAGATTCCTCACCATAGATCAGAATGTCTGTCATGTGCTGTCCTCCTTGGACTTATACCCTGGGGTTATACCTCAGTCTCTCAACCAGGGGCTGGCACATCCCTCATGCAAAATGAACAGATAGATTTGCAAATGGAAGAATGGACATGGAACAGAGAGTGAAGAATGAACAGAGAAACCTTAGACTGGGGTCAGGGACAGGAAAGTGTGGTGAGGAGAGGTGAGCACTCTCCCCACGCAAATGACCTACCTAGGTCAGATCTGTGTCACCTTGGCATTATCTGCTTTCCTCCTCGTCTTCCTCTTCCTCTTCCTCTTCCTCGTCCTCTTCTTCCTCTTTCTTGTCCGAGCGGCCACGGTCTTTGGAAATGTCACCAAACTCAAAGTTGCCTTCAATGTCCAAGACCTGCAGGTGCTTCAGCCTCCGGAAGGCGCTTTCTACCACAGAGCCCGCGGCCAGTTTGTTAAACCTGGGAAGCCATCCACACGAGAGTCAATGCCAGGAGCCCAACCTCAGGGTCCCACACCTACCCACCCTGGAAGGTGAAAGAGGAGGGAGCAGGCCCTCCAGGAGAAAGGCCGGGGCTGAGAAGTTCTGTGCATTATGGAAAGTACAAGTGGGTGCAGGCAGTGACAGCTCAGGGTCAGAGAACCGTGCTATGCTGGGCTGTCATCCATAAAGTGAGAGGCAGTCTCCCTCTGCACACACTCTCACTACCATCTGGGGAGTGGTGACACCAGAGCCACCTCTGCTGCTCAGACAGTAACCTCAAAGCCTGGCTGGCACACAGGCCACGGCTAAGCCTCCCAGAGATGCACTTAGCCTGTGGGAAGGCAGAGACTGTGGTCTGATCTCAGGCCCCTCAACTCTGCTACAGAAGCCTGAGCACGTGTCACACCACACCAGTGTGACCAAGCCCTGGGCCCCTGCCCTACTCTGTTCTGTCTCCTCTCTTGTTTAAGGGCTAGAGTGTGGAAGGTGTTGGGAAGAACCACTCCAGCTCTTCATGTAAGAGCCCATGTCCTCCAGGAACTGGTCCCCTGAATCATCCTTAACTTCCAACCCGCAAGAGCCCAACAAGGACCTAGATGCTCATATCTTGGGTCTGAGGCCCAGGTCCAGCCAGGCTGGCTATGGACACAGTAGCCTCTGGTGTTCTGTGGGCCTGAGTTTTCCCAACTGCAATATGGGAAGACACTCCTGGGGGTCCTCCCCCTACAATCCCTAACTGCCACCACCTCCTCACATGACCATCAATAATACCCTGTGCACTGCTTTTTTTTTTTTTTTTTTGGTTTTTTTTTTGTGGCACTGGGGTTTGAACTCAGGACTTCATGAATGCTAGGCAGGTGCTCTACCACTTGAGCCACTCTGCCAGCCTGTGCACTGCTTTTTAAATTTTTCTGAACCCATTTATAAACATATGAACCACCCCAGACTTGGCCAGCACTGCCCTCACCATTGAGGGCTGAGGCAACAGAGGCTTATGGGGTTCTCTGAGGTAGCCACGGTCCCACAGCCGGTCAGTGTGAAAACCAGGATCTGCACACAAACCTCTGCCTGTGAGCCATTCCCACATGCCTCACCTGTCCCAGTGGAGCAGGGTGGACCCTGAGGGGTGCATGCAGTGCTCTGAGGGATTCCCTACCTGAGGAAGATCCCCTTGAGGTTGGGTGTGGAGTCGAAGGCATTGGCCAGCACTGTGCTAATCTTGTTGTCCTGTAGGTACAGGTACTCAAGGGACTCTGGGAGCCCCTCGGGGATCTCTGTGAGCTGATTCCCAGCAATGTCCAGCAACTGCAGAGGTGACCAGAGAAGTCAGGGACCCCCACCTGTGCAAAGCCCTGAACAGCTTTGCAAAACTACCACCAAGTCCCCAGCCTAGCTAAATCTAATGAAAACCCTACTGGGGGGGGTCTATAGCTACCCCCATTTTCCAGGTGAGGAAACAGAAGCTCAGAGCCTGTACAAGGCTGGAACCTTGTGTGGCTGACTCTAAATTCTCATTCTAATTGATGTAGGTCCTACCCAGCCTTTTCTGCCTTTGCAGATGAATTTAGAGCAAAGATGTTTGGGTGTCACAGTTCTTCCTCCATAACACACCTGTCACTCCCATCAGAATGAAGACCTAAGACAGCCAGATGCCAAGGATCCTCCAGCCTTTGAGTCTTGACCCACTGACCCTGGATGGGGACAGGGACAGGCATACAGGTGAAGTTGCTCATTTATGGGTCTCATGAGTCACACGTGTAAGGACCAGGAATGAAGGTACAGGGCACAAGAGCCAGGCCCCAGGCTGCAGGCTCAGAGTCACCACATGCCAATGGTTGGGGAGCCACAACCAGAGAAGTTGGGTTTCCCAGGTGGCAGGACACACCTGCAGTGGGCAAGCCTGGGTGTGCCCTGGCCTGTGGCCACACTCACTGCCTTCAGGTTCTCAGTGTAGTTTTGCCAGTGTACCTTTACACATGAGAGAGCAGGGCTCCATAGTCTTTATGTCACTTCTTCATCCCTAGAGGCTGGGGTTCAGGGTCAGAGACTGGACCTCTGAATCCAGACAGCCAGGCAAGCTGGCATCAGGATTCAAGGGCAAGGATAAGCTCTGAGCACTTTAAGGAGCCTCCTCATCACCTCCCCTCCCCACAGGGCTCCCTGTTTCTCCCTGTGTCCTCGAAGCACTTGGCACCCTCCACACATCTCTACTTGAGCACTTCCTCATGCATTCCAAACAGTCTTGGTACCCACAGTAACATGGACTCCATGAGACACTGTCTCCACCCTCAGGAAGTTACTCTGGCTTCTGAGACAGACCCAAACCCTGACAAGCACAGGCTGAGGAATCGGCTTTGATAAGTGGGTGAGGGGAGTGACCTGAGGCAGCCTCTACCAGGAAAAGCTTTTTCAGGCAACTAACAAAGGGTGGGTCTGAAGCAGAGCAGAAAGAACCAGTGTGAGGAAGAATCCCCAGCCCACAAAACATCCCCCCACCAAAGTTCCCAAGCCCAGGGAAATGTCTGGTCTGCCCATCATTGATAGAGGGGAAGGGGCTTCCTAAAGAAGGTGACACCCACACAGAGTCCTAGGTATATACTCCAGAAGAAAAGTAGCCCTCTACCTGTCTTATCCCCTGTGGCATCCCCAGTTCTAGAACTGTATCTGGTATGTGGTGGGGGCTCATCCAGGCTTGTGGAATGAATGAATGAATGAATGAATGAGTGAGTGAGAGAGAGAGTGAGTGAGTGGGCATCACCAGTGAGGAAGGTGAAGATGGTCCTTCCAGCAGAGAGACCAGTATGCACTGGGAGCAGGGGTGGAAAACCATGACAAGGGAGTCTGGCCTGGGCCCAAGGGCAATGCGGGTCTGGCAGGAGCTTTTCAGGACACCATTGATTGCATACAGAGTACCAGAGTGGTGAATTCCTAGGAAGCTGGGGTCCAGGTAAGAAATGGGGTGGCCTGGCTTGGGGTGGGGGCAGCCGGGATGGAGAGAAGGGGACAGCAGGGTCAAGTGCTGGTGGGCTGTTGGGGGCAGGTGGCAGTGACAGGATGATGCTGAGGGAAGCTTCTAGATTTCCCTAGGTGGATGTTCTCTTGTCCCTGCAGTGAGAAACAGGTGTGGAGGAAAAGATGATGGGCTTCAGGTCCTTATGAATGAGCTCCCAGGGAACACAAAAGGGAGCAGCACAGGTGGCTGGATCCTGGAGTCTGGCACTCAGGAGGGAGATCAGGGTGAGGAGAGACCCAGCTAACCTACACCCCCGACAGCCACTCTGTCAGAGATTGCTCAAAAACAGTGACCTGACAAATCATCCCTCATAAACAGTGACTGAGAGTCCACCACATCTAGTAGGGAACACAGCAGACTAAAATGCCTGCCTTATTGTAGCCCAAGGGGCAGGCAACTAACAAGTAGTCAGATGGCCTGAGGCTGGAGAGGTGAGGCTTAAGAAGACACACTGGCTCACACCTGTAATCCTTGCTACTCGGGGGAGGGGGGGTAGAGATCAGGAGGATTAAGGTTTGAAGCCAACCCGGGCAAATAGTTCATGAGACCTTATCTCTAAAATACCCAACACAAAAAAACGGGCTGGTGGAGTGACTCAAGAGATAGAGTGCCTGCCTAGAAAGCATGAGGTCCTGAGTTCAAATCCTAGGACCATCAAAAAAGAAGAAAACAAAGCAGAGGAGCAGAGCAAGCTCTGAGGGTATCTGAGTGGAAGGGACAGCAATGCAGAGGCCCTGTCTGGCTGTGAAGGGTGGCTCTGGGAGGGAAGCAAGGGGCTGTGGCAAGCCACTGCAACACATCAGTACCTCAGCCCCTGATCCCAGATTTTCTGATGAATTTCCCCTTTAACTCCTGTTTTTTGAGTGGGAGATCTCCATTGTTCCACAAAGAGTCCAGACATCCCTGCCTGCATTTGACCACATGGCCAACAGTAGCCACACCAGTGACTGACTGGCCCCAGAATGCCCAGGGTAGACTCCCCCATCTTAGCCCTCTGCAGACTGCAGCGAGGTTAGCAGGGGTCATGCCCTGCCCCCACCCTAAGGTCCAGCCTCTCCAGCCACTTACTTCTGTACCTGCAGGTAGGTGAGCTTGACTCTCACTAGCTGCCTCACCTGCCCCGGGGTCCCCCTGAACCATGGGCCCTACCTGCGGCTATGACTGCCTCTTACTTCTACCACCCTCTGGAACTATGTCTGCCAGTGGCTAGAAGGGCCCGCCTATCCCAGACATATACTCCTGCACTCACTCTGCCTTTCATTCCAGAACCTGCAGGTGAGCTGGGCTGGTACCCTCTGCACGGCTCACAGTGCTTTCTAACCTGAGGCCAGCCCGTGTATACCTAGCCTCCCGGGCCATAGCTGGTGGTGAATTAGCTCAGCCTGGCTATTCCAGAGGAACTCCCCTCATGGCCCAGCCCTCAGCTGACACAGGTAGATGAGTGGGCTCAGGGCAGCCGTACCAGTAGCCCCCACAGGCATAGCTCCGCCCCTCCTTACCTGCAGGTGGGCAAGGTCCGCCCAAGCACGAGGGCCCAGGGCCCGGCTACGTAGTCGGTTGCCAGTGAGGTAGAGCTCTCGCAGCTGGGCCATGCCGGCCAGTGCCCCACGTGCTAGGGCGACCAGATCATTGCGTTTGACCTTCAGCACGTGCACATTGCGGGGCAGGCCCGGAGGCAGCGTGTGCAGGCGATTGCCGGACAGGTCAAGCGAGCGCAGCAGGCGCAGCTTGCGGAAGGCGTCGCGGTGCATCTGTGGGCTGGTGATGCGGTTGTAGCTGAGGTTGAGCTCCTCTAGGAAGTAGGTGGTGGCGAAGTCCTCCCGGCCGATGCCAGTGATCTGGTTGTGCAGGATCATGAGTGTGCGCACGCGGCGGGGAAGGCCACTGGGTACACGCTCCAGCGCGTTGTTGTACAGGTGCACCGTGTGCAGCCGCTTGAGGCCCTGGAAGGCCAGTGGGTGGATGCCTTCTGCCCGCAGCTGGTTGCTATGCAGCAGCAAGTACTCAAGGCTGCGAATGGGGGTCAGAACATCCGCATCCACTCTCTGGATGACGTTCTTCTCCAGGTGTAGCAGGACCAGGCTGCGTGGAAGCCCGGCTGGGACCCGGGACAGGTTGTTGCTGGACAGATCCAGGTACTCCAGGCTGGAGAGCTTCCTGGAGGAGGGAGGGAATCAGGATGCTTAGGAGCAGCCCACATCACATATTCCCTCCATTCTTCCCAAGGAAAATAGCAGGGAACTGCCTCTAATTCACCTCAGTGTGGCCACTCTCTGCCTGGGGGGCCTCAGACTACTCCCAGTATCCTTCTGGGTTGACGCAATGATGTAGTAGCATAGGAACCTTATGTTAGCCTTTTGTGGCTACTCTGAACCTAAAAAATTAAAATACATCTACCTTCATCAAGAATGGTTGAGGACTGTGGGGGGTTGGGGGAGAGTGGCGTGGCTCAAGTGGAACAAGCACAAGGCCCTGAGTTCAAATCCCAGTACCACCAAAGAACAAAAACAAAAAACCCAGAAACAAGAATGCTGTAGTTTGTATTTTGTGCCATGGAGCACCCATCTTCCCCAACACTTGCTCGACTTCATGTCACGTAGGCAGTCCTTGCCTATATACATTAATTGTTCTTAGAGTCAACAGAGGCACAAGCCTCAAAGATTCTTCTCCAGGCAACGTGGCCAGGGGAAGTGGGCGAGGAACGCATGCCCTGGTGGGGGTAGGCAGGCCCTAGGAGGAGCTTGTCAGGTGCCAGAGTGTGCTGAGGATGTGGTGAGGTGCAGACCCACCAGAAGGTCTCGTTGTCCAGGCCCTCATCGGTCAGGTAGTTGTTCTGCAGGTATAGCTCACGAAGATTGCTCAGCTCACTGAAGGCCCCAGGTGGGATCTTCTCCAGCTTGTTGTTCTGGAGGTGGAAAAAGTGAGGTGAGAAAGGTGAGGGCAAGAGCAGAGTCTCGGAATGGACAGGAGTCTGGGGAACCACCAGGACAGGAGTCAGAATGGAGCACGGGGGGTGGGGAGACAGCCCCATGCACGGCCACACCAAAAGTCAGGTGCCCAGGCTTTTGCCTGCCTCCCCACCATGGCTCTGTACCCTCTGCCCTGGCCATGGATCTGCTACTCCCCCTCCGATCCCGTTCCCTCCCCACCTTGAGGTGCAGCTTGTACAGGGCAGGAGGCAGGTGCTTGGGCACGTGACGCAGGAAGTTGCTGGACAGGATGAGGACCTCCACGCTGCTGGAGCCGTTGAACATGCTGTCCGGCAGCCCGGCATCTGCCAGCTTGTTGTTGTGCAGGTACACAGACCTGGAGGTTAAGGCATGGTCCTCACCCCACCTGGGCTCCCCTAGTCCCTGGACCACCTCCTGGGGAGCCTTCAAACCCTTGCTCAGGCTGGGACTGGGACTCAAGATGCTGTCCTCCCATCTTAACCCAAGGGTTCAGAGTTTAAAAACCTCAGATCTCTGAGAAACAAGGACCAGAAGGGTCGGCACCCAGCAGAAGTGACCTCTTAAATTAGTGAGAGAAACAGGATTTTCTGTCCAGGCTCTTCCCCACTACGCCCTGGCCGGCAGGGCCTCACTCCTTTAGGCAGCTCCAGGAGGGCAAGACCTCCTCCGTGCAGGCCCCACAGCTCCCACACACAGTGCTCTCAGTCCTCTCCTCCTCGACTGAGCCCCCTTTTCCTTCAGGTCTCTTTCCCCTTTGGATTCTGAGTCCCTAAAGTACCTGAGTGTTTCTCTACCCCGACTCCAAGCAAAGTACCTCGATGCTCACTGCACGGCAAGGACTGCCCCCACCCCATCCCATCTGGCCTTCACGAGGAGTGCCACCTCAGCTACTCCCCTTCCCCTGCTCAGCCCAGGACCATTCCTCTGACCTCTGACCTCAAATTTGGCTTCTGGCCAAAGGTGAGCCCATAGATCTTGGTGAGATAGTTGGCAGCAAAGTCCACGCTGATCAGGGCATTTGGCAGGAATCGGGGTGCCAACGTGAGCTGGAAAGGGAAGAGCAATGGAGGGGCAGAGGTTAGCGCTGGGCCCTGTCACCACCTGCTCATCTGAGCCTTTTCCCTGTCTCTTGCCTGTAACCAGGGCCATCTTTTTACAGTAGGGATCTGTCCTATCCTCTGATTAAGCAAAAATAAAACCCCCAAGCCCTTAGCTTAGTAGTCAAGGTCCCCTGGACATGTCCCTGCCCTCCTGTCCTCTTGCACTCAGCCTTGGTAGGTGGAGGGGTAAAAGCAAGGCATGATTTTAAAGGTTGCTCTACCTGAGGAAAAGGGAAGGCAAAGGAAGTGGAGGGGCACCCAGGTGGGGAGGGTGGCTCATTGCCCATGGAGGCTGAGGACCTGCTGGGGGGTCTGGCTGGGGGAACCTCGGCATCTCATCTTCAGCCCACACAGTGGTGCGTGGGTGGTGGAGCCAGCCTCACGGAGATGGGAAGATGGAGGAGGATTAGGTTTGGGGGCTGTAGGCAGGAAGTTGTAGCTCTGCTTCCATTAGACATGTAGGGGAGATGTCAGAGGTGGGAGGCAGGGACTTTGAGCCTCAAATCCAACAATGGCAAAGAATGGAGGCCATCAGTTAGGGCCTCCTGGGAGGGGACAGGGCACCTTGGGAGAATTTAGAGAGAGAAGAGGATAGGATGGGGCCCTGGTGCACAACAAGTGTTTTGAGCTTGGGTGCCTTTGTGCTTCACTCACACTGTCTCTTCTTTGTTTTCATTATTATTATTTAAGACAAATTTCTCCTTATATGGCTCAGCCTGATCTCAAGTTCCCGAACTCAAGCAGTCCTCCTGCCTCAACCTCTTGAGTGCTGGGACTACAGGAACAAGCCACTGTACCTGGCTGCTGTCCCTTCTGCTATATTGCCTTCCTTTGAGCCCCAGGCTAGAATCTGACTGCCCTTCATTTCCTTGCTCAAATGCCATCTCCTCCAAGAAGCCCTTCAAGTGCTCCCCAAAGCAGGTTGCACTCTGTCTCCCATTCCCTCCTGGAAAGGCTCTGTCTTCATTATCTGACACACTCTGGAGCCCTGGCTTACAAGGGTAGGATCTATGTCCCCTCCCTACCTCCAGAGGTCATGTATGAGCAGCAACAGGGACCCAGCAGCCAGCGGAAAATAGGCCCTGCTGAAGGTTCACAGAACTCAGGGAAGACAGCGTCAGGAGAGCAGGGCAGTACACCCCTCCCTCCAAGGCCCTCACCTTGTTATTAGCCAGGTACAGGTAATTGAGGTTGGTCAGATGTTCAAATGCCTCCTCCGGGAGCCCTTCAAAGGACAGGTCAGAGCCCTGAATGAAGGAGACGCTAAAGGGGGGCACACGAGCCACACCTTGCCCACCCCACTTGCTAGGATAGGGACACAAGAATAGCTTGGATCCCTTCCCAATTAGTCCCAATAAGCAGCCCCATTTCTTTCTGCTTGCTCACGTGGCCCAAGCACAGGACCAAGCAGTTAAATGTTGGCTGAGGAACTGAGTGACCCAATTTGACCCTTTGAGCAAAAGGAGTGCTCCCCTGGGGGTGGATGGCTGCAGGAGATCTCCACAGGGAGATGGGGCTGAGCTGAGACCCGCTCTGGGCAGGGCAGGGCCAGGCCTCCCCACCACCTGGCTCTTGCCTGCCTCCTCCAACAGATGTCATGGTGCTGGGAGATGGGCCAGGTTGGCCCCTCTCCAGCCCGGAGGTTGGCCTCTGACACTCAGTTCTGGGCTCCGGGACCCCTGCATGCTGGGGCTCACCCAAGTTTTGAACAAGAAGGAACAGTTACATAAACTGTGGAGCGTCCCTCCATGGAATGCCCTGCTCTGTGGTGTGAAATGACGGCCAGTGAGAGAAATGTGGAAACCAACCAAAATGGATTATCACATTTATAGTACAAAATCAGCTACAAATTTAAAAACACTAAGAAAAAATGACTGGATGGAGTTGTATTGGCATTTGTACAACTGTATAAACTTTCTAAAACTCATCAAATTGTACCTGAAAGTTGGGTAATTTTATGGTACATAAATTACATTGCAATAAAGCTGCTTTTTTTAAAAGCCATGAAGCCCCCCTGTGCCATTTCCCAGGCCTCAGAAGCATCCAGGGTTGCCTTTGGGCAGTATCAGGAGACCCTTGAACACATGTGTGGGGGGTCCTCACACAGCCCCACAGACAGCCCAGCCCAGACCTGCTCTTTCCCACACACTGGGATCTACAGGGCCAAGCTCTCCCCATGGGCACTGGGTTCCACACAGGCCTGAGTCCCCTTCTGGTGTACTCTGGGGTCTGACCCCTCACCTCGGGAAGTCAAGCGGTTGTTCTGGAGGTTCAGAGTCTCCAGCCGCTGCAGCCGAGACAGTTCCTCAGGGTAGATCTTCTCCAGCTGGTTGTTCTGGTGGGGAAGCAGGGGAGAGCAGCAGCATTCTGGGGTTGGGGGACTGTCCAGAGCTCCTGTGCCTACTCTTGGCCTAAATCCTACAAGCCATCCCTTTCTTAGAGATCTGCTTTGGGATTCTTCCCTGTGGTGCTGGCTTGTATGGGCATTGGGGGCACAGCAGTGACCACAAAGATGTGTGAGCCCCACACAGGGACATCCACAGGCAGGTCATACTTGATGGGTCATCTAGACCTGTCCCCTGAGTGCTCCCACTTGGTGATAGGCATCTGCAGCTGTTCCCTAAACAGAAACCACTTTGCTTCCCTTCTTTGACCTGCAGTCCCCAATTCCCTAAGAACACTTTAAAACCTGGGCCCATGACCGCCTCCTCCAGAAGTCTTCCTGGTTTGAATTAGGGCTGAATTGGGAGCCTGCTGTGGGCTCCATGCGCAAGTTCTTCTGTTTCTATTTGACTTCTCTGATTAGGTCTCTGCCTGTGAGTACCTGAGTCCCTCTTACATGTCCAGCACACTCAGAGGACCAGAGGTACAGAAATGGTACTCAAGAGACTTTCTATGTATGAAAGAATGAGCAAATGAACCTACAATAAGAGCTGTCCTCAACTAGTCCCTTCCTCTCATTGGCTACCCTGGCCCCAGCTCCCACTGCTGCCACCCCAGGCCCACCAATGATATGAGCCATGGTAGGTCACTTTCCTTCACTGGACCCAATATATTCGGAAAAAGGGTTGACGGCCCCTCCCTCTGCTCTTGGGACTGTCCTGGATGCACTAAAGTCCACTCAGTCAGGATGGCTGTGCCCACTTCTCAAGATTCCAAAATCTAGCCTGCACCTCAGCAGGGATGAGCATTCTGTGCTCTGAGCTCCCAAGTACTTGAGTTGAGCTCTGGTTTTCCTGGCTCTGTTGTGGTATCTTCGGTGCCCTGTCTATTCAGAGAGGGGGTCCACTGCCAGGCAGATCTGTGACTATTGTGGGACAGACCCTGCCTCTACACTCTTGGCCACAGCCCAGACCCCTCCCCGTGAATAGGCAGTCTATAATGTCTCTATGCTCTTTGGGCAGGACATGAGAGGTGCCACATGGGTGGGGACCAGGACTCTATGAGTCTGACCTGCCCTGGCGCCCTGATTCTGGGAACGGGAGCCATGTACATTGGAGGTTCTGGGTGAGCAGGGACCTGGGCATGTAGGGGATGGGAGCCACAGATGTAGGGCACCCTTGGGGATTGGAGGTGCCACATCAGCCTCACCTGCAGGGACAGGTGGTTGGTGTGCTCGGGCAGGTCCCCTGGAAACTCACGCAGGTCGATGCCGCCACAGTCCACAACTCCCTCCTGGGAGCAGGCGCAGTCTCGGGGGCAGTTGATGGTAGCCAGGCCAGGCCCTGGCTCCTGGGGACTCAGGACCAGCACGGGCTCCTCCTCTACAAATTCGTTCTCCTCAGGGCTCAGGCTATGGGCACTGCTTTGGCCAAACATGGGGGCTCTCACCGAGAGCACGGGTCCCAGAGGCAGCTGTGGTGGCAACAGCAGCAGAAGCAGCAGCGCCCTGCTGCGGGCCATGGTGCCTGCAGGAGGAGGGGTCAGGCGCCAGGGTGATTTACCCGGTTCAGTTCATTGGGTACATGGCTAGGGCCTTGGAGAGTCATGACAGGGACCTCCAGGGCACAAGGCAGTGCCCCTTCTGAATGCTGCTGACCTGCTAACTGCTGCCCTCTCCTCCCCACCCAAATCCCCACCAGGGCTGCCCTCTGGGGGTGATGGTGCAGGGAAGACCTGTCCTTGCGCTGGCCTTCAAAACCCTCACCAGCGTGGTCCCAAGGACCATGCCCTCATTTCACAAAAGGGAAGCTGAGGCAGGACCTGGACTTTGTTAAGCTCCTGGCACCCTGGCACAGACAGAGTGGGAGCCCTTGTCCCTCCCCCAGCACCAGCAGGTGTCCCAGCACTTCAGTTTCCATTCTCAGATCTTCAGGATTGGGCCCTGCCTCTCCTCATCTCCTGTCTCCCCCAACCATCCCAGTTATACAGGCCTATTCAGTGGTTCCTCCCTCCAGGCCTTTGCATATGCTGTTCCTTCTCCCCAAATGCCTTTCCCCAGTCTCATGCAAGAACCAACTCCAGTGTTATGACATGAGGGAAGCTTATGAGATGGCCCACGGCGTAGTGTTAGTTCAGCTTGCCTGTGAATACTCACGGGTATCTTTTTTGCACAGAGGACCAAGGGCAAATTTCTGAATCTAGGTATAGGCCATGTCCAGAGCCTGGCACAGAGGTGATGGGGCTGCTACCCTGTGACCACCCAAGACTCACGCCTGATGTGTCATTAACACACTCAGCTGCCCTCACAGGGTCTGATGTGCTTACATGATCACCACCACTTCAGGAGGCCACTCCCCAACATGGTCCCCAGTGCAGTCTGAGGAAGATGCTGGGGTGTCATTGTCCCCAAGGTCCTGTGGATCTAGGCTCAGCTCAGGACTGTGTCCCTGAATTCTCATTACAAGAACTCACTTAGACATTGTGTCTGGGATACGGAGAGTTGTGAGAGGCGGCAGTCAGGAACACCGACCTGAGGTCCCAGCTCTACCACTTAGGGACTCTGACCTTGCTGAGCCTCAGTTTCCTCATCCGTATCATGCAGGTGATACATCTAAACTCACACTCCTGTGAGGAGTCAGTAAGATGATGGACAGGTGCACCGGGCACCTGTTAGGTGACAGGGGCAGCCATTACCATCACTGTGACTCTGCACAGTAATATGCCCCACTGAGTGGGCAGGAGGTGGCAGCAACAAGTGTCCAGGTCCCAGTGTCCACTCCTGAGCAATGAGCACGCGGCCAAGTCTCTCCCGCCACTACCTCAGGAACCAACCACAGAACGACTGGGAGGGTCTGACCACATGCAGGGTGGGGAAGGGTGGGAATCTTCCAAACAGTCTAGACTTCAGCTTCTTATCTGTCCTTAGGGACTATAATGGAACTGTCCTCATGGGGAGACTGTGAAGAGTCAATGAGATGCACTCACAGTAAACGCTCAAGAACTGTCAGCACTTCCTCCACTGTCTACTGCCACCCTGCCCAGCATCCCTTGCTTCTCCCCTTCCCTTGTCTAGACCTGGCTTGGGCTTCTTGGCCAGGGTCCAGATCCACCTGCTCCCAGAAGATACTGCAGACCCACTGCTCTGCTACTGCTGTAGGGTTTCACACCACTCTGTTCCCTAATTGGCACAGCCAATTCTCCAAGGTGAGGCCCCGTCTGCACCTAGCCCTGTTATGGGCACTGGGGACACAGGTGAGGTGGATCAGGTTCCTGCCCTCTGTCTGGAAGGGCTATCAGATCCCAGTACCAATAACGATTGCCCACCCAGACCTGGGTGACAGTGTAAAGGGGTCCAGGAGTATAAACGCCCTGAGGAAAAGGTATGAGGGAAGAGGAAGGGTAGCAGCCAGGCCTCTCTGACCCCAAGGGCCACATGGCCTCAGCCGACACAGGCCTCAGCAGACTCAGGCTGCAGCCCTGGCCTGCCAGAGAACCAGGGAGCCCAGCTCACACTCTTGGACTCCAGTCACAAGTAACACCCACGCCAGCATGACTCTGCTACACCTGTACTGCCCCAACTCTTCACCAAACGTGAAGATCATCATTCCCTGACACCTTAGAACCCCAGGGCTGGCTCCAAGCCTCCAGGCCCCAGAACTGCCAGCCCCACTCCTTGCCTGCTGACCCAGGCTCTCCGAGAAGGTGCGGGCCCAGTCCCAGATTCACTGGGGCAGGAGGCCAGGGGGAAGTATCCAAGGGGAAGAAGCTCTGACCCCCACATATCCCGTGCACCCACTGGACAGGCTGGTCTCCTCCCTCATCTTCCATCGGTATCTGTAAAAATGTGTAGGTATACAAATATTTAATTTATAATAACATTCTAAACCATACTGGAAATGTCTTTATCACCAATTTAGAGACCAGAATGCTGAGGGCCATGGGAATCAGCCAATGTAAGAGCTGTGAGGGGCCAAGCTCAGCTTCCAGCCCAAGTCTTCAGCACTGCCCCCATGCTGCTATTGCTTGGGCCAAGCACTCTGGGTGCTGGGGACCCAGAGGAAAGCTCAGGCAGGCTCCTGGCCTAAGAGGCTCACGGTTGCCCTGTCTCCTCCAGTGGACACTCATCACCACATGTGACTAAAGAGCACTTGAGGAGGGGCTGGTCCAAATTGAGATGTGCCATAAGTGTTCACTGTATTGTACGTGCATTTCAAACCCACAGTACAGAAAAGAATGAAATACCTCATTAATATTAATAATATCAATGACATAATCCAATTTCTCATATATGTTTATATAGATTACATAATACTTTGAATATATCAGGTTAAATAAAATTAAGTTTATGTGTTTCATTTTACTTTTTTTAAATGCAACTTCTAGAAAATTTTACACTACATTTGCGGTTCACATTCTATTTCTATTAGGCAGTGCTAGTCGAGAATTATGTGTAACCTGAGGCTGATAATCCCAGTGTTGTTGGCAGGAACGATGATGGAGGGAAGCTTGGAGTTCACAGGAGACCAGAAGAAGCCTAATCTTGCCACGAAGGCTTCCCACAGGAAGTGAGGCCTGCTCTAGCCATTTGGAAGGATGAGTATCAGGCAAAAGGAAAAGGGGCTGAGGGGCAAAAGAGTCCGTGTTGTGAACTCTATAAAGTTCACTAGATTTTCTGGTGGCAGGTGGGGACTGGAAGTCGTAAGAGCGGCCACAAGTTCAAGCCAGGTTAGCCCAGGGAGTGTGCGCCTTGTCTCTGAAAGATAAGCAGCTGCTGGAGAGGAGAGTATCAAGCAGGCTAGGGATGGCAGCCATCTGTGAGGCTGTGCTAGTGCTCAGGCAAAGGATACTGAGCTTGCCCTAGGCAGAGTGAGGACCTGGGGTGCAGGGATGGAGAGGAGAGACTGGGTTCCAGGGAGAGGTACAAAGAACAGAGGAGTCTGGTGGTCCCAGTGCCCTGTCTTCCAACTTCCCAGCCAGGACCATGGGACCACGGGAGCCAGGAAAGCTCCAGCTCTACTAACTGAATTGCTGTGACCTTGACCACACCACTGACCCATCTGAGCCTCAATTTTCCCGCTTGGTCTTTTAAGAATGTTGAGCAAGATAAGCCCCCAAGGCCCCTCTGGTGTCTGGCCCTGTGGGAGCTGTATGCGGAAGACCAAGTGGAGAAGCAGGCCTCTGGTCTCCAGGAACCCTAAGTCTATCTGGTGAGGGCAAACCCTTGGGGCAGAAGGGCAGCTTAGTTTGCGGTGAGCTCTTCCTCAGTGGACAGCTTTAGAGACAGAAGGACTGGGGTTCTGATACTGCTGCTGTGTGACCCTGAAGAAGTCATACCACTGCTGAGCCTCGTCTCCTAGTTGAAGAAATGGAGAAGGGAGCTAGTCATGAAGACTAAGTGAGAGGATGGGCCCAGCCTGATGCTGGCAGCAAGTAGATGTGAAATACATGGGCTTACCATTATGGAGGAGGTAGTGAGGATGTGCTGTCCCCCACATCAAACTTCAAGGGCTAAAGTTGGGAGAGGGGTTAAGGCAGGAAGGGCAAGGAAGACCCCAATCAGGGGACAGACCCTCAGCCCCTAGCACCACCTTCCTCCCCCACTCAAGTTCAGTAAAAATTCACTGAGCAACTGCTCTGTGCTGGGCCATAGAGCTATGTCTTGTTGGTGCCAGTAGAAATCCAAGACTGTGCCTTCCTAGTTTACAGGTTCAAGTACAGAGGGGCTTCCCATCCCAGGAATCTCAAACACCCCTATTCTGGGGAGCTTCTCCTCTCCCTCAGTTGGGTTAGGGTGCTCTTCAGTGTCCCTGCAGTACCCCCACTTGCTTCATCGTTCAAGGCTCAGCTGAGCCTCCCTCCGCTCCCCAGACATGGAATGGGTGCCAGGAAATGTTTGCTGAATGAATTTGTGAAATATATTGGTCTGACTCCTCAGTTTACAGATTAGTATGCTAAAGACAAGGCCAGGGCTAAAATTTGTCTTCTGTCCAGGGCCTTGGGCTGGTCTTGAAGGCCGAGTAGGCATTCTCCAAGTGGTCAAAGGGGAGAAAGTCACTCTAGACAGATGGACCAGCATGAGCGCAGCATGAAGTGAGACTGGACAAGACGGAGGTGGGTGTAAGGAGGTAAACAGAATGGAAGTTGGGGCTGGAGGTACAGGTTGCCAAGGGCATTGACCACTAAGCAAGGATGTTGATGCTATGGAGCCACTGAGGATTCAAAGTGAGTCATGGACCGTGCTTTTTTGTCTGACTCAACCAGACCCAATAGTGCCACCATTGGCACCTCCTACCCAAGATTCAGATAGAAGGGATAGAGTGTGCTCTCACTAGATCATATGAAAACACTCAAGAATTTGGCACTTAACTTGCACACTAGGCCAGAGTAGCTTGGGCCCTGGGCCCCAAAAGTGGACATTAAGGGCCTGGACTCCCAGATCATTCATTGGTTTTTACCACGGCAGTGCACAGGTCCTTCTCAGTAGTGTGAGCAAGGAGATCTGGCTGGTCCCTCCTGCCTGTCTTTGGCCTTCCCAGTTTTGAAGGTTTCTATAAAAGCGAGGGTGGGGGTGGGACACGGGGCTCACACCAGTGATGTTCACTGGCATCACTGGCCAGGGCCAATCCAAGCTTCGCCTTCACCAGCCCTCCCAAAGTTGAAGGGCAGAAGCTCAGGCTGCATGCGCTCAGCCCTCTGAGCTACATGACCACCACCCTGGTCAGGGCACTCACCAGCAGCTTCTCAGCAGTTCAGGCTGCAGCTGTCTGTCAACCCCAGCCGAATCTGGCCCGCTGCCAGGAGCTGGCTCCCTGACGCCACCCCCTCTTCCACCTGTGTGTCAGGTATTCCAACGCCACCATCCAGGCCAAGCTGGTGGCTCCACCACTCACAGTGTGAGGCTTGCACTATATTAACAGGAGGGCGCAGACCTTGCTCCTCATCCTCTCCTCTTCCTGCCCCTTCCTTGGTCCACCTGTCCCCTGTCTGGAAGCAGCTGCCTAGGCACACTCTAGGCCACCAGCTGATTTGACTCAGCCAGTGAGCGGCGCTGGGCTGGGGCGGCACAGAGACTGGGAGAAGCCCAGCTCTGCAGCTGGACTGGGCAACAGACGCTCAGGGTGCGCCCAACCTGTCCATAGGCCCGAGAGGGGCACATCTGCCGCCCTCTTGGGCCTCAGTGTCTCGGTCTGGAAAGTGGTATGAGGTTGGACTCGCCGGGACCGCTGATGAATTGATGTGGAAAGACGCGGGGATACTCGGCCCAGGCTCTCAGTCCAGGGGGTCCAAGCCCCTCTCCGTTTCACCTGCCCCCACATTCCCTGTCGCTCGCCGGCGTCCTACCCCCTCCCCTCCCCATCCGCTCTCAGATTCTTTCCAGATGTGCGCAGCGGGAGGGGCCCGGGGACTGGGGACCAGCCTCTGGCCAGAGAGGGAGAAAAGCCCCTGCCCGGGTCTCGATCGCACAGGGGTCGCACCTCCCAGAGGGAGATATCGGACTGTGCCCTCGGTGCTGGATCCCACGGAGGGGGCGAGATGTTGCGGTCCCGGCCCCGGCCCGGGCGGCTGCTGGGGCGGTGGGGAGAAGGCGGGGAAGTCGGAGTCCGCCGCCCAGGCGCGGCGCCCTGCCCTCGGCCCACCCGGCCGCCCGCGCCCGGTACCTGCTGCGCCCGGCGCCGTGCGGTGCCGCGCCCCGCCGGCGGAACACGCTCCCGGGTCTCGGCTGCGCTCCGCGGCCGCGGGCTCCTTCCATTCGAGTGGAGCCGAGCGCTGCGCGACGCAAGTTTTGTTGTGGGTCTCCTCCTCCCCGCCTCTCCCCCGCCCCCGCTCCCCGCGTGCATCTGCTGGACGCCGGCCTCGTCCGGACACAGGCGCAGGGTCCCCCGGGTGCGGGAAGGGGAGGCGGCACCCTGCGGCGCTGCGCTTGGCGGGGCCCTACTTCCCGGGGAGGCCGCAAGGTCGCACCGGGCCCTCTCCGCCCCGGCGGCCCGCCGCACCACGCCCCCCCTCCCCCGCAAGACCGCGAAGGCGGGGTGTCTAGCCCGCACCGCTTCCTCGATCCAGCCTGCCGCGGTAGAACCGGACCCTCTTGTGGCCTCCACACCTGAAAGGAGGGCCGGAGACGGCTCCTGCGACCCAGTGCCTCTGGGCTCGGCTTCTTCCTCATGCCCGAGGATTTTGCCAACGTTTCGGGCACTAGTACCTTTCCCTTCACTCTCCCACCCTGGGGTCCTAGGCTAACACGGCTGCCAGCCAAGACCCTGCTGGACCCCTTCCCGGAAAAGTCCCCCGCTCTGCACCCACCCATCCACCACCCTCACCCCTGCTGGCTGTGGGCCCACAACCTGGTGAGCCTTGAAGAATGGTAAATTGGCCTGGGAGTCTGGATGCACGCAGATCCCTCTCGCAGAAGACAAAGGGGGTGAGGGGACTCTGAGCCCTTGCGGCACCATATTGCTCCCAGGAGCCGCAAACGTGTCCAAGTAGAGGAGCACTAACTACTAGCAGCTCAGGCAACACTGTTTGGCGCCAGGGGCATCGCTGGTGGAAGGCAGTGGGGCTGGGTTTAGGTAGTACCCGGCACCTCCACCGAGTAACAAGCCTCTCCCTCATACCCACCCTGGCCTGTGGGCAGAGCACCCATAGCTGCCTCACCTGGCTCTTGGAGAGGGAGAAGAATGAGTAAATCAAACATGGAACCACCTGCTCACCTAAATTGTCAAGACCGTGAACGAACAAATGGCTCACCTAAGCGGCTCCAGACTTTTCACACCTGCTGCTTGGACCAGGGCATCCTGTTTATACAAACCTCATGCATTACTCCCTACTCTTCACAGTTCTGCAAAGGAGGCCTGCTCTTTCCCCATCTTACAGTAAAGAGCCAGCCTCACACAGAGTGACTGAGAAAACCAGCCATTAACTGGCAGAGCTGGGGTTCTGAACCTCAATCCACAGCCCTCTCCATGATAGAAGCAAGCAGGAAATGTGAGCAGACAAGTGTAGAGCCTGGGTTTGAATCCATGACTGTTTCCATTACATCAATAACTCAAGAACTTAGCATGAGTGGGAAAGGGAAATATTTTGCCTTCTTTGGCCTCAAATTCCAGTGCTCTCTGAGCTCAAACTTGAGAGTTGGGTATGATTCACATGACTGGACAGGAGCCAACAGAGAGATACATCTCGTGTCTTCTCCTGAATACTGAGCGTAGATTCAAATGGCACTAAAAGAACAGGATTTTATTGGCTTGAATACCCACTAACCAAATCTTCTAGTATAAGAACCAGCACAAACTGTCTACAAAGTGCCAGGCACTGCCTTAAATCTTTAAATGCCCTATCATCCCAACCCCATAGGGAAGGTATTATCTAGACCTACAACTGCAAGAGCCAGTGTGTTTTAGGGACCAGCCACATGGCATACCACACATCTTGAGCCCCCTCATCTCCCAATGAAATAGGCTCTGCTAAGCCAGTGCCCATGAATGCTTTGTGGCTGAGCAGTGCTGAAAGGCACAAGCTACATCCTTTGTCTGAAGCATAGTCTGGAGGAGTCACTCTGAATGTCTGAGGTGGAAAAATGGAGGTAAAAATCCCACTGCTCCAGAAGCCAGTCCTCGTTTTCAGAAGAGCTGTAAAGACAGAGTTTCCCAAATCTACCTGTGCTGCTTCAGCTCCTCCATGCTGCCCTTCAAATACAGCTCCTGTTTGATATCCCCCTAGTACATGATGTTGAGCATAAGCTCGGATGAAGACCTGGGTTCAAATGAAAAGAATAATACCTACAGACTGTCCACATTAAATGAGAAAATGTGAGGACTCTGCATAGCACCTGACACATGGTAAGTACACAGACACTGTTCTTACAAAACTATCACCTACACCTAACCAAACATCCAAAAGACATTAAAATAGAAATGAAAAGCTGGCTATGGTGGCCCACGCCTATAATCCCAGCACTCAGGAGGCTGAGGCTGGAAGATTGTGGGTTTGAGGCCAGGCCAGGTCACATATTGAGACCCTGTCTCAAAATAAACTAACAAACATACAAACAGAAATGACAAGTGGCAAGAATTAAACACAAACCCCTGCACTGCCCAGGCCAAGTGCCTTCTAATTAGAAACAGTAAGGAACAAAGAACACAAAAGAAAAAAGTAGAGTTTTCTTGTCCTTCCTGAACAAGAGGCCTCTCCAGTGGGTTTGATGATGAAATGGGGGAGAAAAAGAACGAGCTGTTATACTTCCCAGAGAAGAAAATGATTCCTCTTACTGTGAGTGCTGGACCTAAGACTTTTCTTTATCAAGTAGCAGAGTCCCAAATACTGAGCTATGGCAGTGGCTTGGTCAAATCACAGGGTTTTGTTTGGGGGCTATGAATCGTCTGAAGGATCTTGACAAAAGACTTCTCAAGGGACAAGCAGAATATAATGGAAAAACCATAGGCCAAGTCAGTCTGAAAACATCTCCTGTAATACCTCCTACAAACTATTATTGGAACTTTTTTGTGCTTTCGTGTTGTCTCTCTTTCCTCCACTGGTTTGTGAGCTCTCCAGAGCAAGGACGTCATCTCATGTTCTGTAAGGTCCCCTTTCTAGCCCTGAAAACCACCATTGTGATAGGTAGAGTCCTTCCCTCACCCCAAGATGTCCACACCTTCAACCCTAGAACCTGTCAATATATTGTGTAACTTTACAGAGGATTTTCGCAGATGTAATGAAGGCTAGGGACTTTTCTTTTTTCACTGTTGTGTTGATGATGGAACCCAGGGCCTCAAAGTGCTCCATCACTGAGCTACACCCCAATCCAAGATTATGGATCTTAAAATAGGGACTTTGTGGTGGATTTTTCAGATTTGCCTAATTTAATCGTATGACCTGCTAAAACCAGTCATTTCTCTGGTTAGAGGCGGGAGAACTAAAACAGGAGAGATCAGAGATTGAACATGGGAGAAGGACCTGACTAGCTTTAAAGGAGGAGCCATGAGCCAGAGAAGGAGGCAGCTTTAGCAGCTGACACACCTGCAACCCTGCCTCATCCTGGAGCTGAGCTCTGCCCAAATCCTGAACAAGCATGCAAGTGGATTCTCCCCTAGAGTACTCAGATACGAGCCCAGGGCAGTCAGAGATACCTTGGGCTTGTGATACTTACAGCAAAGGAGCCAGTAGACTCCTAAGCATGCTGGTATCATTGCCCCTTCTTTTAGGAAACTGATGCTCAGGGAGAGTGTAAAACCTGCTCAGGGCACCAGCTAAGGAGTGCTGGAGGCAGAAGTCAAATTCAGGTTTTCAGGCTCCATCTCCAGTGTGAGACTGAGTCTGCTACCATTCTGGTGGGGGTTTTTTGTTTGTTTTTGGTTTTTTGATGGTGGTGGTGGTGGTAACTGGGGTTTGAACTGGGCTTCACGCTCTGTGGCTTGAGGATTCTACTACCTTCAGTCAAATAAAAGTACCAAGTCTTATTTCTGGTACATACAAGAAAAACATTTTGATAAATGGCAAAAGGAGAACACCTCAAAGAGTAGCTGTCAATGACAAGGCACATACTCCTGTTTCGATGACCTTTCAGCCACTATTAAGGTCCATCTCTTGCAATGGATTATGTGCTCAGATTTTGCCAGCTGGGTTTAGAACAACACTGTAGTTGGAGTTCCCAGTCCACTGATGACCAATTTCTATTGTCAGGAAATTCAGCTGATTTCAGTCTGAACTTTCTATATTTCTTCCTTTTACTTCTAATAACTACATAAATAATTCTTCCCCCTTTGGTCTTTCCATCTTTCACATATTTGTGAACTAATGCCACACCCTGCCCTTGGGTATCATTTGCCCAAGTCAACCATTCTCTTACACTACTGTGTCTTCATATCCAAAACTCTTTTCCATTTATTTCTGTCCTAATAATGGTCCTAATTTTGAAAAAATGAGTGCTCTACACAGTGTAGAAGGTATCAAATATTTTAAAATGTGAATTATACAATAACTTGCAGAAAAAAAGAAAACATCATTGTTGGGTGGTTGGCTAGAAAACTAGTACTTACTGCTTCTCTGTCTACAATTTGTGCAACTTTATTTTTATTTTTTGAAGTTCTGGGATCAAACCCAAGGCCTCGCGGATGCTAGACAAGCACTCCATCACTGAGCCACACCCCAGTGCCTCTGCCTGCAATTTAAATAAATAGCAGACTATAATCGATTTCTCCCAATTCTACATAAAAGTTTATGGCTACAAATGCAGCCACTAAAAGGTCAAGCATTTACACATGCTGCCAAAGACAGTATTATGAATATTTACAAAGTGTTTAAATGACTATTAATAGAATCAAACTTAATGTTCGTCACTTTTTATAATAAGCTTTGGATATATTTTTTAAAAATATTTCTTCAAAAAGTCTGGCTAAAATTCCATACCAGATGAAACTTCCAGCCAAATGGAATCAGACTCCACATTTCTTAAGGGCCAGAAATCTGGCCCAATATTTTCTGTTCTAACCAAGAACTAAAGAGCTGTTTGTTTGCAGCAGTCTCCAGATAGATCTAAAACTGGACCTTTCCAAAAGATTTTGTAACTCTATTGAGAAAACCTCTCCTCTAAAATTTGGCCAGACTTAGCTGTGGTTCCTGATAGCACATAAATCTTTCAGGCCCCTCATCAGCTGTTTAGTACAAATTCCTAATTCATGTCAATGTGGTCTCTAAACAAACTCAATCCCACAGGTTAAATTACCCACAGGTACCATTGGACTGATTACCTTTCTTTTCTAGTTACTAACATAAAGCAACTTCTTTGTGTGCAAAAAACAATCATAGCAAGGGGCAGCTAGAATCGCAATCTTTGGCCAAAATGCAAACCTTCTGAAAGTCATACTAAATAATTCTATATCCATTCATTTAGTTACAGACACTATTAAATTTTAATGGTTCTGGAGGAAAATGTAAAGATGCAGACAGTCAATAAAAGCAAATTGCCCTCAATCCTGAAGCCAGCTATTATCTGAACTCAAAGGATTGTCTCACCTGGTGGAGTGGCTCAAGTGCACCTGCCTAGCAAGCCTGAAGCTCTGAATTCAAACCCCAGTGCTGCCAAAAAAAAAAAAAAAAAAAAAAGTCAAAGGATTGTCTCAGAATGTTCCAATGAGTAATTTCTTCATCTGAGTACCTAATGTGTGCTTAATATTCTACAGTTACAATTGTTAACCCTCACAACCAGCACGGCACTATTATGCCTTTCTTATAGAGGGAGAAATAGGTTGAGTTCTTAACTCTGTCCATAGCTTAAGGTCCCAGAGCTGTGTAAGTGCCACAGCTAGGACAAACCCTACATATGACAGGCCTCAAATTTTGCCCACTATACCAAGCTGCTCTAAAGATATTATTTTCTAAAAATGCTAATTTTAGAAGATAGAGCTGTTAGCTCCAGACTTTAATTTCCTATTTTTTCCTGAGATGATATAAATGGGGAAGACAGAACAATATTTATATATCACTCAATCTTTTACAAGGTATTTTTACAATCTAAGAACTTTAATAATCATCTAATTCCCATTCATCATCTAATTCTCATTGGCTTTACTCTGGTGGACACTAGAGACACAGAGATAATAGCTTCTACATTCAAGGTTTACAGTCTCAAAAAAAAGAGACCCACTCCCAAAGTAAGGGTCCCCCATTTGTAGAGGAAGTAACAAATGGTGAAGCTTGAATGCCAACCCTAACTTAGCTTACAGGAAGCAGAGACAGGGTCTGATAAGGTCCTGATCAAAGAGTCCCCTGATCATATCTAGGACCTTCTCCTCACACCTCCACACTGAGCTACCTAACTTTGTTTCCCAGGACTGTTTCTCAGCATAATCAATGAGGACTGAAGGAATGGGAAAAGTGTGAATTTATCTGGACAAGCCCAGCAACAAGACTAATGATGACGATGCACAAACAACCCAGTAAGTCGCTCCATTTTTTAAAACCTAATAAAGCCATTTACATCTGAAGTTGAAAGTCTGTAATGAGAGGCTACAAATACTTTCAAAGAAAAGAACAGGACAGGTCAGGCTAAGAGAGAATTTTGTTCATCATCAGGATAGCCAGAAGGTCTTTTTAACAGAGACTGCAATTCTGCAACTAGGTTTCCATCCTCAGAAATGACCCCTGTGAATATGAAATTGCTATCCAGAGTTGGGCATGGTGGTTCACACCTGTAATCCCAGTTACTCAGGAAGCAGAGATTGTGAGGATCACAGTTTGAAAACAGCCTCAGTAAAGTTAGCGAGACCCAATCTCAATCAATAAGCTAGGCACGGTGGCATGCACCTGTGATCCCAGCTACACGGAAGGAATAGGTGGGAGTATCACAGTCTGAGACTGGCCCTGGGCAAAACGTGAGATCCTGCTTGAAAAATAACTAAAGTTAAAAAAAGGGCTGGTGGAGTGGCTCAAGTGGTAGACCACCTACCCAGTGAGCATGAGGCTGAGTTCAAACCCCAGTACCACCCCCCAAAAATTGTTATTCAGCTTTTCAATGATGATCTGTCAAGATGAGGGGTGGTAATCGAAATAAATGGCAGTCTTTGTCCCTAAGGAGCTCTCTGTTTGGTGGGAGACAGGAACACATTACCACAAAAAAAGATTAAGTCTATTTGTGGCACATGGGGACAGCTTCCTGAAAGTAAAGGCACCTGAGTAGGTCTTAAAGGATGAAATGCAATTTTCCAAGTGTGTCTGTGGGGAGTTAGGGATTGAATGGTGAGCATGGGCTCAGTGAACAAGGTGTGCAAGATGGCCTATCTTAGAACTCAAAGTATCAGCTAATGTGCCTGCTCTGTCTGAATCCCTTGGACACTGCACACGTTGCCACCAAAGGGATCTCTTTTGTTCTTATGGTTCATAGAACTTTATGAAACCAATCCCAATCAACTTTGTAGTGGCCATCAGTGACTTCCATGTTGCCAAATTTAGTCCAGTAGACACTTTCAGACATCAAGCCTCTTGACCTAATATAATTGACCCTTCCAAATTTTGGCTGTACTCTCTTCTGGAATTTTCCCTCTGCCTCTCTGGCCCTTCCTCCTCTACCTGACCTGGAATAGGCTGAAGTTCCTCAACTTTCTTTTTCTCCCCACCCCAGGTAATTCTTACATATTTTTATATATATATATATATATATATATATATATTTTTTTTTTTTTTTTTTTTTAACCAATACTGGGGCTTGAACTCAGGGCCTTCACCTTTAGCCACTCCACCAGCCCTATTTTTGTGAAGGGTTTTTCGAGATAGGGTCTCAAACTATTTCCCCGGGCTGGCTTTGAACCAGGATTCTCCTGATCTCTGCCTCCTAAATAGTGAGGATTACAGGTATGAGCCAACAGCACCCAGCTCATTCCTGTAGTTTTAAATACAACTCAAAGGTGCTCTAGTGGCACAATCGGTTAGCGTGCGGTACTTATAAATACAACCCACAAGTTGGTGACTTCCAAATGTATTAGCTCCTAGCTGAGATACACATTTGAGCTCCAGTCTTGTAAATTCAACTGCTTCCTTTATATCTCAATTTGGAAATCTCTCAGGCATCCCAAACTTAAGTTCAAAAGGGAAGTAAAGCCAGTCATGGTGGCATACACCTATAATCCTAGCTTCTCAGGAAGCAGAGGATTTTGAGTTCAAAGCCAGCGTAGGCAAAGTTAGCAAGACCCTATCTCAAAAACAAAATACAAACAAGAGGGTTTAGGGCATGGCTCAAGTGTTAGAGCACTTGCCTAGGGTTCAATTCCAGTAACAACCCTCCACAGACATACACCAAGAGGAAGTTCCTCTTCCTCTGCCATGCTGATCAGGTAGACATTCAGCCTAAGTAAGAAACAAACATGTAAAGCTGTTTCTTTAACTATTCCCAACCACACAAAGAATGAAATATGAATGTCTTACCATAATGAACAAATCCAATGAAACTAGCTCCTATGTACCTTCTGATCTCACCTTTGGCCTGCCCTTCCTGCTCACTATGTTCCACCATGCTGGCCCCCTTTGTTTCTGGAACAAGCCATGCCCCTTTCCATCTTCTCATGCAACATTTTTTGCACATGGCTCCTTCCTAACCTTTATATCTTAGTTTAAAAATTACTGCCTCAGAAATGTCTCCCTAATTACATTATCAAAGAAGGCCCTCGCTGTGTCCACCACAGCACCCCGGTCATTTCCTGTGCAGCACTTCACAGTCTGTTATTAATTATGCATCTCTTTGCCTGTCACTCCTATTGGACTGTAAGCACCATGAGGAAAGAGCTCCCCAGTGCCTAGCACTGTTCCTTCTATACAGTGCCTTCCACACGGTACTTGGTAAATGAATGAACAAATAAGGAAAAAAACAAAATACTCCAAAAGTAGGCTAGAATCCTACAGACACCATTTCATAGGAGCAGTTAGTGGTGGTAATGGTGAGGGCTGTAAAGGAACTCATTACCATGTACTTAGCACTGTTCTAGGTAAAGAGCAGGCAACTGAGGCTCAACCTGCTCAAGTAACACAAGTAGGAACAACAGTTAATCTTTTCCTCCAAACCATAATACTAAGGAAAGTTTTAAAAACCTGGTACTTTATTTTCTCACTAATGCATACATTACATTCATATATGAATATGATTCTACCCCAAGAATCAGTGCTTGTTTTCATAGGCTAAAGCCTTTTTCAAGAATCTCTTGTTATCTTGGACCAGTGAGGGCAATATTCAAACTATGAATAAATCAGACATTTCATTTTTCTTGGAGTTGTCTTCTTCTCAGAATGAGAATCATCATAGTGATGATTAGGAAGTAGGTCGGTACTCTGAATTCATTCTATGGGACTTGAGATGAACTTGTATTGAATTAATTTACCCTCTAGTCCTTTCACCAAATGCTGTTCTGCTGGTCACATGTAAATCCAAATGGTCTCAGGGGACCCAAACCACAGTCCTAAAAGTATTAGCAAGGGCTCCAAGCATCTAAAACAAGAACTTGGCTTCTTCTTCTTTTTTTATTTTAGTTTTATTTATTTTTAACTTCTGACCAACTTTGGGTAAAGTAACAGAAAACTGGGGCCTGCGTAATTCCCAAACTGGGTTCTGCTAGGCTAAGTAGAATCACAGAATTATCACAGCAGAAGGGACCTAAAAGACCATCAACTTAAACACCCTGTTTGCAGTTTAGGAAAGAAGCCCAGGCAGGCAGTTATTAATCTGCCTAAGAGAAGCAAATCTCCTAGATCCTGATTAAGTATTATTGTCACTACACCACACAGCCTCCCTAATGAATAGTAATCGTGTCAAAGCAACCAATAGATAACATCCAGGTAACATTCAGTTTGTAAACTGCCAATGTTTCCCTTCATATTTTATCATCCAGAAACCCTGAGTGAAAAGAACATACACAATAAAAACAAAGGAAATCGAGAAGTGCTACTTTAATTTCCTATTAAATGTTCTTCCAAAAGCATTATTTTTGTTCCACATCTGAGTTATAAGAAGTAACATTAGAATTAGAAAAACTAGGAAGGTAAATGTAGAAATTACTTAAACATATGAAAAAGGAAAATTATAATAAAATATTAAAAACCTTAAAATCTTAAATTAATGAGACTAGAATTTGAAAAACTGTTCATCTAAAAACAAACTTTATTTGTTCAATTATTTTTAGCAACAGCATTTTATGACTCTAGTGCCCTGATTTTTTGAGGAAGAAACCTATTTTAAAAATATTTTTACTTTAAAAATAGGCCTGTGTTCAGCCATAAATTTTTCCCCAAGCTCTGATCATAATTCTTTTATTTGGGAAGAAAAAATTGTTTCTGAGGGCATGAAATGCAAATTTTTAAAGTCTTTTTTAAAATCCTAGTACAGAATTTGAAGAGCTGTTTATGGGAAATCAATGAAGATTGTTAAGTGCACCACAGTAAGTACTGGTCAGTTAGGGATTCTTTTTCTTCCTTAGTTCTCCCAAGGAAAGCTCTCAAGTTGAATCTCCAAACAGAATAACCCTTAAATATTACTTCTAAGCAAAACGAGAGCTTTTGTTTAGTCTTTAGATTTTATTGTTCTTAATTTTATTCTGAAACTCAGATTTTCTCCAAACCATAATCACTGTATTAACTTTGTCATGCATATGTGTATGCAATTCCGTAAATCAGTAGTACACATCAGACTCTGTTCACTGAGAGCTTAGGAAAACATGATTGGTCACACCCATTTAACAACAAATCTATCTCACACTATTTGCCAATGTACAGCTTCAGTCTAAGTCCTGACAATGAAATATATGGATATATATCTATATATCTCATCTTGGCTTTCCAAAGTTGCCAGAGGGAGTTCTTCACAGCTTAGCTTTGCCTGGCTGAAGCTGAAGATTCTGCAACTTCATCGCCAAGCCCATGTTGCCAGTGATTTTCAATTTTCCTTGAAAGAAGGCCTGTGAATGAGAAGAAAGAAAATTCATTACTTGGGGGTTTTGTTCTGATTGCTAATGTTTCTACTATTCTGGCCCTGAGATCATTTATCCAGGTATTTCTTCAAAATATGAAACAGAGCTTTCAGGAGAAGATTTAGAATCAGATTCCTCAAAAGGCAGAGTCTGTAAAGACCACACTTTATGTATAGCAGCAGAAGGGAACAAATGTCCAAACTGAGTCTAGCTTTCCCTGCCTTCCTCAAAGGTGGTACCTTTTCCAAATATTAGGCAAAGCAGGTTCATACTAGATCAATTTTGTTAAAAAACATTGAGCTGGAAATATGAACTGAAATTTTCAGTAGGCTGAAGGCAGAAAAAGACTCTCAAAACCACTTAGAAACTCTTGGGAACTCCATACAGTGTGGACAGAACTCCACTGACGGCTTTGCTTCTCCTGATAAAGGCCTGGTTGCTGTGGAGGTAAGCTACTTGCTCACAAGGGGCTCATGTATTCTCTGGCTCAGTGAGAAGAATCAGACCACTTTGAATGGCAGAGCCACAGTCTGTTCTGTTAACAGCAAAACTGAGAACACAGCATGACTCCTGACTCCTCTGCCATGATGTCAGTCATCTAACTCAATTCCTAAAATAAGGAAGAGCTAAATGAGAAATATTTCTCATAGTCTCAGCTTTTCACAAAAGTACATTAAAAAATGAGGAGTTTTTCTGTGTTTCTCCATACTTGCTGGTAAGGGTGACTAATTCCTTCCCCCCCCCCCCCTTGTCTGAACAAACTAAATATTTCCTTTCTATATGGCACAAAGCCTTCTGTCTGATGACTTAAAGGTCAGGTGTCTTGGAACACAATATATTTAACATGTGTCTCTTGAAAATATGGACCAGTAGTACAAAAGAAACTCACTACCTTCCACTTTTCTAAGCTAAAAGATAAAATGATTTCTTATTTACTAATGGAGAAGAAGTGAATGTCACCCTTTAGAGAACCCAAACATACGGCTCCCTTTAATCTGGCTCTTCATGTGCTTTTTTTGCAGAGAGCACACTGCTTTGCTTCAACTGTAGCCAGACAGACACATAAATTACAGTTTCTACTGCATTTAATGATTTCCAGTCAAATCCTCTACTGAGCATAAGGGAAGTCCATTAGCACATTCATAGAAAGATCTGCCATTTTAATCTTTAATTCCTCTGGGTGCTAACCAACAGGTGCTGAAGGAAAATAAGCTGACACCTCACTCCCTAAAACAGGCAGTCCATAGATAAACTGGGAGGCCAAGGGATGTGTGAAATCAAGGCTGTGCATGGAGTATGCAGTGGGCCAAGGAGCAGTGGCTGAGAAGAGGATGGCAGCCAGCTCCTGTACTGGTGGCCTCTGTTCCATCCAGATTTTTGGAGAGGGCTGCATGGGTGGAAAAGTCAGTGTGTGTTCAGCTAAAACATCACAGATGCACATCTCTCAGGTATGGCACTGACGGAAATATGCTCAGGCCTGTAATACTAGCTACTTGGGAGGCAAGGATCAGGAGGATCACAGTTCAAGACCAGCCCAGAAGAAAGTTTGCCAGACCCTCATCTCAACCAATAAAAAACTGGGTGCGATGGTGTGCACTCAGCTATGGGATATATAACAGGGAAGCATAATTAGGAAGATCATGGTCCAGGCTGGCTTGGGCAAAAAGCAAGATACTATCTCTAAAATATTCAGAGCAAAAAGGGCTGGTGGGGTGGTTCAAGTGGTACAGCACCTGCCTAGCAAGTCTGAGGCCTGGAGTTCAAACCCCAGTACTGCCAAGAAAAAAATTTTAAGAAAGGGATTTAAAAAGGAATAAGTGAGCCAGGCACCAGCGGCTCACGCCTGTAATCCTGGCTACTCACAAGGCAAAGATCAGGAGGATCACAGTTTGAAGCCAGCCCAGGCTGACCCTGTCTCGAAAATACCCATTACAAAAAGGGCTGGCAGAGTGGCTCAAGGTGAAGGCCCCGAGTTCAAGCCCCGATATAAAATTTAAAAAAAAAAAATGGAGTAAGTGGACTTAGATTTAGTTTTACTCAATCTTATGAATTACCAGGCAAGACCCAAAACAAATTAAGGCAGAGAAAGGTCCTAAGTTTCTTTTTTGCTAATGGAAAAAGTGTATCAAGTTCACAGAAAGCTCTGCATACCTAGTCTGTTCCACACTGAGACCAGGAAGAGCCACAGGAGAATAAACACATTTTGGATAAATACAACTTAATCCAACAACTGTTTACAAAATCCTAAAACATCAGGCATTGTGCTAAATTCTGGAAACACAAAGACCAATAAGGGGTGGCTTGCCCTTTGAGACATGATATAATGGAGAAGAGACAGGCATATCATGACTAGTAACATTAAGACATCATGACAAGCTAAGCTAATAGTCCACTAAGGAGCTCACAAGAGGCACTGACTACAGCTCCCCAACAACTTAGAAGGAAGTCCTTGGAGCTAACTTGAACAGAGAAGAGTATGCCAGGAAAGGACAGTCAGGCAAAAAGAAGAGCATGGGTGAAGATGTGGAATGCAGAAGGTTCTATCTATGCACACCACCCTCCCTCCCCTGGGAGCACTGCTCCTCTCCACTGTGCCCTGCAAACTTCTGCTCATTCCAGGGTCCACTCAGTGTTGAGGCTTCCTAACACTCAAACATGGCTTCTTTTTCCTCCACAAGCCAGATACGGTACCAAATCGTGGTATCCCTGAGTGTGAGAACTACTTCCTATTCATCTGGCACTCCCAGCACACTGGAGAATGTCTAGTACATAGCTTGCTCTACAAATGTTTGTCACTTGTTAAGTGACCATTCAGGGGAACACTGTTTTGTGGGTCTGAGGCAGGAAAGGAAGTGGAAAGGGGTAAAGACCCACCTGCTACCAGGCTATGAGCTTGATCATACTTACCGACTGAGGATTCATTTTACCAGTCATCAAAGCCAGCAAGTCTGAGTCGGCCATGGTGATTGTGCAGTCGGCCTTCTTATCTAAAACAGACAGGCAGGAGAAGGGACAGCATTCAGATGACTGTATATATTTGAGTCAAGACCACTGACTGCAATAGAATCACATAGTTGTAAGCGGTGTGGGAAAATGGGAACTCAAATATACTTTTATAGCAGCCTGGTAAGATATAATCTCAATATTAAACAGAGGGAATTAATTAACTAAAGCATGGCATATTCATGTAATGAAATACAATGCAACCATGATAAAACATGATGTGGATGTAGACTTACTGACCTGAAAAATTTTGTATTATATTACTCATGACATTTTTTTTTAACAGTACTGGAGTTTGAACTCAGGGCTTCACGCTTGTGAGCGAGGCTCTCTACCACTTAAGCCTTTCCACTAGCCCCTACTCTATAACATTTATAAGTCAGTTACAAAATAAATTTTAAAAATGATCCCATTTTTTGCTTAAAAACAGTATTCAATTATATAAGTATAGGCAGACCATCTGTCAAGTTAAGACAGCAATATATTACTAATAGTTATGTGGTGGACAGATTCATCTCCAACCTCTGGTAACTTGCCTTTGCTTTGTCCCTCTAGTGAGAGCAGGACCCATGACTTGCTTCTAGCCAAAAGAATGTGCCAACATGACAGAATGGAATTCCTGTGATTTTCTTGTTTGAGCCTCCATTTTGCTAGCAGAGCTGGGATGACTCTGGCCTACAGCCCATAAAATACTTATAGCTGTCTTTTTCATGGTCACAGGAAATTCATTCTGCCAACAACCTGGGTAAGCTTGATCACAGACACTTCCCTATTCAAACCTCCAGCAGCCTTGTGCAACAATTTAGCTAAGCTGTCCTCAGTCTCCTTACCTATGAAAAACTACAAGGTGATAAATGTGGGGTTTTTGTTTGGTTTTTTTTTTTAAAACAGAATCTCACTATGTAGCTCAGGCTGGCCTCAAACTTGCAATCCCCCTGCCTTAGTCTCCTGAATGTTGGGATTACATATGTGCACCACCATGCCCAGGTAATGTGTGTGTTTTTTTAAACCACTAAGTTTGTGATGATATATTACACAGAAAGAGAAAGTAAAACAAGTTATCTAGATCTGGGGTTAATGAACTTTCTAAAAAGGAACACTAAATGTTCCTGGTGTGTCACCAGGTCTCCATTACAACTACTCAATTCTGCCTGTGTAGTACAAAAAGCAGTCACAGATAGCACACAAACAAATGCATGCTTAGGTTCCAACAGAACTATTTTCAAAATGGGTGGCAGATAGAAAGGGAGAAGATATCTGCAACGTGAATATATGACAAAGAACTTTTGTCTAGAATAAGAAAGAACTCCCACCAGCCAATGAGAAAAGGTCAGGTAACTAATGCAAAGCTGGACAAATAGGTAGGCATTGTACAAAGAGGTTCTCCAAATGGCCAAAACTGTGCACAACACGCCTGGGCTTCATTAGTCATCAGAAGATGTGCATTAAAACCATGGTGAGGGGCTAGTGGAGTGACTCAAAGGGTAAGAGTACCTGCCTTGCAAATGTGAGGCCCTGAGTTCAAACCCCAGTGCTGCCAAAAAATGAAAAAAGAAAAAAAATATGGTGAGATGCCACACACCTACAACAGTGCGCTGTCATTAAAACAATGACAATACCAAGCAAAGTCTGCAATGTTCACACAAAGACTACCTATCCCTCTTAGGTATGTGCTAAACAAACAAAAACATATGTCCACACAAAAACCTGCATGTCAATGTTTATTGTGGCTTTACTCACAACAGCCAAGAGCAAAAAAACAAATGTGCTTCACCTGGTGAAAGGATAAACTACTCAGCAACAGAAAACAAACTACTGTGAGACACACAGCAACATGAGTGACCTCAGGGAGAGCAGCACACTGACCCTGTCCATACGACACTCTAGGCAAGGGGACACTACAGGACAGAGATCAAATCAGCGGTTGCCAGGGCCTGCAGATGGGGGAAGGGGAGTGACTACAAGGGACATAGGGACACTTTGTTCTTGGGTGGTGGCAAAATTCTGTATCTTTTTTTTTTTCTTTGGTGGTACTGGGGTTTGCACTCAGGGCCTCACATGCGCTAGGCAGGCACTGTACCACTTAAGCCATGCCCCCAGACCGTTTTGCTTTAGTTACTTTTTGAATAGGGTCTTTCATTTTTGTCCAGGGCTAGTCTCAGATGTGATCTTCATATTTATGACTTCTGAGTAACTGGGACCCAGGCACATGCCACCACGCCCAGCTTATTCATTGAGATGGGGTCTTGATAAGGTTTGAGGCCATCTCCATCGATCCTTTTGATCTCTGTCTCCTGAGTAGCTAGGATTACAGGCATTAGCCACAATACCCAGCTTCTATATCTTTAATTGTGGTAGTAATTACACAACTATATGCATTTTGTTTAAACTCACAGAACTGCACAACAGAAAATGGTAGGTTTTACTGTGGTTAAATTATACCTCATTGGGCTCTGGTGGTTCATGCCTGTGATCCTAGCTACTTGGGAGGCTGAAATTGAAAGGATTACAGTTTAAAGTCAGTCAAGGCAAATAGTTCTTGAGACCCCCATCTTCAAAACAGCCAGAGCAAAATGGACTGGAGGTGAGTCTCAAGCCTGCTTTGCAAGCTCAAAGTCTTGAGTTCAAACTCCCACCCGACCAATAAATAATACTTCAATGAACATGAATTTAAAAAAAAACCCCATCAGTACCCAAAGTACTATCAAACATATGGAGCTCTGCATCTGTCAGATAAAGTGGAAGTGAATATAAAATAGGACAATACATCAAAATCCTGTCTGGCTCTACTGCAACTATGACTTAGCATTTCTACCCTGTGGTATATGCCCAATGGGAAGGAGGTACGTGCCCACTAAAAAACATCATAAAATGTTCAGAACAGCTTTATCCATAAGGCCCCAAAATGGGAACAAAGCAGGGAAACCTTAGCCTATAATGAATAGCTGCTAGGGTATTCACACTGCTGACCAAAAGCAGCCAGACCTAAAAGAGAGGAAATACCACATGGTTCCATTTATACGAATTTCCAAAATAAATAAAACTAATGTGGTGATAGGATTTAGAACAGCAGTTCCTTTTGGGGTAGATGACAACAGGAGGGGACTGAGGGAGTCTCTAGAGTATGGGCAACCTTCGGCATCTTGGTGTGGGAGGTGTATTCATTTGCAAGCATTCATCAAGTGTATACTTCAGATTTAAGTCTTTTATCAAAGGCTAAACTTCAATAAAAATGTTACCAAAAGAAAAACAAACAAGTGATGGGCTACATTTGGTCCACAGGTCATAATTTCACAATTCCTGGACTAAGTGGTAGAATTATTTCTCTCTCTTTTCTAATTTTTATGCCAAGTGTATATTACTTAAATAATACACTTAAAAATGTTAATTTTAGTACATCAATGTGTAATTAACAGAAAAAAGATGGGCTGGCAAAGACTAACATCTCATTGCTAAGTTGGCTGTGACTACCTTGGGCAATAAGAGGTTTCAAGTGCAAATGTTTTAGGTAACCAATCACTAGAACAATGGGTTCCAAAATTCATCTGGCTTCTCTTCTCATTAAAAATTAGCTCAAATTAAAGTTGGCCTTTTCCCCCAAATCAAGTCACTTTCTACCCTCTATTTTCATTCGCTGCACTCATTCCAAACTCCCTTGCTTATCTGCCTGCATGGTTTTTGTCTGTATCTGTCCAGTGGAAAGAAACTTCAAGCAGGCAGAGCCCTTGTTTACTGCCCCAGGCTCCCAAGGAGTGCATCACACATAAAAGGTTATCAATAAACTGCACAGATAATCTGTACCTTAATAAAAGAGGAAGGGTAAACCATTAAAGCATGGTGTGCCCGTATTATTAAACAACTGAAGCAAGATAGGGCTGGCTGAATGGCTCAAGTGCATGCCTAGCTAGCATGAGAATGAGTTCAAACCTCAGTACCACCAAAAACAAAAGGCAAAGAGAAGTTTTAGTTATGTCTTATAACTTAAGAAAAACTAGCATTTAATATATGAGCTGGGAAGGAAGCAATGACTTACCAAGCACTTACAATTCGAAGTGCATTACATTCTTTATCTCACTTAATCCCAGAACAGCTCTATGGACAGAAATTATTCTCACCCATTTTTTAGATGAGATAATTGGACTCAGGGAAGGTATGCACCTTACTTTAGGTGAGAGAGCCAAGATCTGAAACCAAGTTAGGTATCTCCAAAGGCTCTTTCTAATATTCCTTGAGGATGAGAGACCCTGAGGTTTTCTGTATCCTGTTGCCCATAAAGGGATAGGTTGAGAATTCAAGCATTGAGAGGGCAGAATAAAGGAACAAAGGAATAAAATGTTGCATTAGATTCATCGAAGCTAGCTTCCTGGAGATATGCTATAGGAGTTGTTTCAAAGAAGACTGAGGGAGGGGTGAAACTCATGGAGAAGATGCTAAAAGACACCCAGGGACCAAGGAAAGATTATGGAAAGTACACAAAATCAAAGCCTTAATGTACCCGTGCATATAACCATTACCACGATCTTATTAGCATGCAAGTGAATAAAAGATATTTCAGTAAATCTTACTTTGATAACAATAAGTAAACCTCCCAACACTAAACCCATGCCAGAAGAACTAGCAATTCTCCTTAAGATGCCAGTTCAAATTAGGGCAGGTTATCAATGCTTTAACATAGCTTGATCTCTAACAAAGGGCCACTTGTTGGTAGATGTAAAAGGAGCTGGCAACTTCCAGTGGTGGCTTTTACAGGGTAAGTCCATATTTCAACACCACTCCTGACTGCCAACAGGTGTCAAGTTCGGCAGAAATTACCCTGCCCCAGGGTGAGATCCCTTCAGGTCTGGGATGGGGCACCGAATACAGGCAGAGCACATGGCAATAGTCTCTGTTCAGGGAACAAGGCTCCTCTGAAATCATCCAAGAGTTTTCCATAAGCAAATTATGATTTATAACCAACCAACCCAACACAATCAACATCAATAAAATAGGAGGAAAAGGAGAACTTTAAAAAGATCACCATAACATCTGTCTGAGAATGTCAGAATATAATCCAAAGTAACTATTAACCTTTAGTCATTAAAAAAAAAAAAACAAAAAAAAACAGGCAGTACTGTATTTACCAAAGCATTTTCTATTTCAAAAAGCTGAAGTGTGTGTGGTTAAAGACTTTAGCTATTTTTCCTATACCATCTTAGAGTGGCAGCTCATAAAATGCAAGCCCAGTCATTTTCTGCCCACACATTTTGGGGAAAACAAAAGACTGCATAACTCAGGAGCCTTTACAACAAAACCACACTGCCCACACCAGATGGAAGCCTTGTCACTCACTGCTCAGCTTTCCTACTTAACCTCTCACTGGTTACTTAATCAACAATGCACATAGCAACACTCCTAACTCTTTCTCCTGCTTCCAAACACTATGCTGTATTTCAGAAGCTCTGCAAACCTTTCTCTTTGAAGGGCTCTGCATATCTAACTGCACTTATAGAGGAACACATGTCCATCCCTCCTAGCCAAGGTGAACCCACCTCCTACCTATGCTTCTGATGACATCCTCTCCTCCAGGGCCTCCCTCAAAAATGTGTTATTAATGAAGGGCCACCATCTGTGACAGACCTCTCTTGTCCACACAGTCTCTAGGTCCTATCAGCTTCACTTCAAATATCCTGGTATCCACCCTCTACCAACACTTACTTTGCTCACTGCCACATTAAGCATCACTTAGACAGTGGCAATACCCACCCTCCTAACTGCTCTTTCTTCCTCTGATCTCCTCCTGACCAAGACTATTATTGTTTGAATATGAAGTGTCTCTCCCACAAAAGATTCATGTGCTGAAGACTTGGTCCCCAGCTGGTAATGCTATCATGAGGTGACTGGATCATGAGGGAGCGAACTTCATCAATGGATTAATCTCTGATGAGCAGCTGAATGAACTATTAGGAGGTGGGGTTTGGTTGGAGGAAGTAGGTAACTGGGAGCATGCCCTGGAAGGGCATATCTTGCCCCTGGCGCTTTCTCTCCTTCTTCCCCTCTCCCCTGCTTCTAGGCTACTATAAGATGAGCAACTTTCTTCTCCCATGTCCTTCCACCGTGATGTTCTGCCTTACCACACAAGGGTCCAGAAGCAATGGAACCACGCAACCATAGACTGAAAATGCTGAAACTCTGAACCAAAATAAATTTTTCCTTCTTTAATTTGCTTTTGTCAAGGAATTTTGTCACAGCAATGGAAACTGACTAATACTGGTCCAAAGTACCAACTTCGTCCTCTAAAACACAGCTCTGGCTTTCACTTTTCACTTTCCTCCCAATACTTCAAATTTCTAAATTATACCAGGGCGTCTCCAGCAAGATAAAGTTAACAGTGCAATGTAGCTACCACTAGCTGAATGCTTACTAAGTGCTATTCATCCCTTCATTCATTCTGTTATTCATACTTATTTTTGAAGACCTACCATGTGTCAAGTACTGGGAGTGCAGCAGTGGACCTAGCAGGCAAAAAACTCTCTGCCTTTGAGAGGCTCAATTTTGGAGGCAGAGGGATGGACAACAGCAAATAAATAAAACAAGCATTATTTGACATACCAGAGTGACAAGCACTATGAAGAAAAATAAGGCAGAAGACAACAATAGGGAATTATAATAGGATATGATTTTTTTTTAAGGGTTAGGACAGGCTCACTGAGAAGGTAACATTTGGGCAAAGATCCAAAGGGCAGAAATAGCCATGAGGACATCTGGGGGAAGATGTCCCCTCCCTCAAGCAGAGGGAACAGAGAGTATAGGCTCCCAATCTGAAAAACACTGTTTAAACACTAGCAAGGAGGCTGGTATTCCTGAAGCAGGGCAGGGACAAATCATGTGGCCATTACAGGAACTCTGATTTACCTGGAGTAAAGACCAGTGTGAGCAGAGGAGGGTGGAAATCTGACTGTATCTCTAAAGCCAGCTCTTTGGGAAAACAGCAAAGCCAATTCAACATTTCAGGTTGACAATCTTTGTGAACTTTGTGAGCCTTGTCATGGCTCCATAAATGAAGTCACTATTACACTGACCTGAGTTTGGAAGCACTGATCCTTTGCCATTCTTCACATCCACCACCCAGGTGGCTTCTTTACCCCCAGGGCCATCCTTCACCTTGAATGCAAAAATACCACCAATTTTCTTCACAAACTGTTCACCTTCCTGGAAACAAAATACCAAGAGTTACATTAAATACCCTCCTCTGGCATTCTACTCAGCTAATTAATGTTTAAATAGGTATGTAACATCCCCAAGCTCCCTCAGAATCTTTTACCCAGAAGTCAGAAAGGCAACCAGGCAACAACTCCCACATCTGCCAATCTCCTGTAAAAAATGGCTTCTGGTAGAAGGAAAGGAAGGATGGAGGAGAAGTGGCAGCATTTTCTGCTGAAACATCCTTTGTTTGTCTCAATAATTTGAGGATTCAATCTGGCCTCTATAAATTCGCCTATCACAAAAACAGACATGAAGACCAGTGGAACAGAATAGAGGATCCAGATATGAAGCCACACAACTATGAGCAACTTATCTTTGACAAAGGAGCTAAAAATATACGATGGAGAAATAGCAGCCTCTTCAACAAAAACTGCTGGGAAAACTGGTTAGCAGTCTGCAAAAAACTGAAACTAGATCCATGTATATCACCCTATACCAAGATTAACTCAAAATGGATCAAGGATCTTAATATCAGACCCCAAACTCTTAAGTTGATACAAGAAAGAGTAGGAAATACTCTGGAGTTAGTAGGTATAGGTAAAAACTTTCTCAATGAAACCCCAGCAGCACAGCAACTAAGAGATAGCATAGATAAATGGGACCTCATAAAACTAAAAAGCTTCTGTTCATCAAAAGAAATGGTCTCTAAACTGAAGAGAACACCCACAGAGTGGGAGAAAATATTTGCCAACTATACATCAGACAAAGGACTGATAACCAGAATATACAGGGAACTTAAAAAACTAAATTCTCCCAAAACTAATGAACCAATAAAGAAATGGGCAGTGAACTAAACAGAACTTTCTCAAAAGAAGAAATTCAAATGGCCAGAAAACACATGAAAAAATGCTCACCATCTCTAGCAATAAAGGAAATGCAAATTAAAACCACACTAAGATTCCACCTCACCCCTGTTAGAATAGCCATCATCAGCAACACCACCAACAACAGGTGTTGGCGAGGATGCGGGGAAAAAGGAACCCTTTACACTGTTGGTGGGAATGTAGACTAGTACAACCACTCTGGAAAAAAATTTGGAGGCTACTTAAAAAGCTGGACATCGATCTACCATTTGATCCAGCAATACCACTCTTGGGGATATACCCAAAAGACTGTTACTCCAGAGGCACCTGCACATCCATGTTTATTGCGGCACTATTCACAATAGCCAAGTTATGGAAACAGCCAAGATGCCCCAGCCTGACGAATGGATTAAGAAAATGTGGTATCTATACACAATGGAATTTTATGCAGCCATGAAGAAGAACGAAATGTTATCATTCGCTGGTAAATGGATGGAATTGGAGAACATCATTCTGAGTGAGGTTAGCCTGGCCCAAAAGACCAAAAATCGTATGTTCTCCCTCATATGTGGACATTAGATCAAGGGCAAACACAACAAGGGGATTGGACTATGAGCACATGATAAAAGCGAGAGCACACAAGGGAGGGGAGGATAGGTAAGACACCTAAAAAACTAGCTAGCATTTGTTGCCCTTAATGCAGAGAAACTAAAGCAGATACCTTAAAGCAACTGAGGCCAATAGGAAAAGGAGACCAGGAACTAGAGAAAAGGTTAGATTAAAAAGAATTAACCTAGAAGGTAACACCCACGCACAGGAAATCAATGTGAGTCAATGCCCTGTATAGCTATCCTTATCTCAACCAGCAAAACCCTTGTTCCTTCCTATTATTGCTTATACTCTCTCTACAACAAAATTAGAGATAAGGGCAAAAAGTTTCTGCTGGGTATTGAGGGGGGGAGGGGAGGGGGGAGTGGGTGGTAAGGGAGGGGGTGGGGCAGGGGGAGAAATGAACCAAGCCTTGTATGCACATATGAATAATAAAAGAAAAATGAAAAAAAAAAATAAAAAAATAAAAAATACATATAAAAGCAAAAAAAAAAAAATAAATGCGCCTACCCCTTTCTGCAGGTAAATTCCTTTACATTTAATTTTGGTCCCCATCAGAACTTAAGTGGTCCAGAGACCAAAGCTGTGTGTGTGTGTGTGTGTGTGTGTGTGTGTGTGTGTGTGTGTACACTCATTTCCTGTCCTAATATAAAGAACTACATAAGTAATAAATCATTTACTACTTACTTTTGCATCTTGGGCACTGAAGTTAGCCTAAATACAGAAAATATAACTTCAAACCCATATTTCTACAGGTGAGTTTCTTTTCTCTGTCTTTCCTTTCTGAAACATGTACAAAGCCAGATATTGTTCTAGGCTCCAAGGATAGGGAAGCAGAACTCAGAAAAATAAAAGATGGCAATCTTTGTGCCATAGTGATAAGACACCGGGATAAAGGGAAGCACACTGCTGGAGCAGCTGGAAGGGGAAACAGTCAGAGGATAACAACAGTCTTACATCCTGTTTTAAAAAATCAAAAGCAGGAGAAGTGGGGATAAAGGAGAATGATGGAGGGGGTGAATTAAAATAAGATATATTTGATATATTGTAAAAACTTTTGTAAATGCCACAATGTACCCCCAGCACAACAATAAATAAATAAAATCAAAAGCAGCACAATTAGTTTTATTGAGCTTACTTTTCTTTAGAGAAGAAACACATTTCACTGTGGAAAAATTAGCAAATATTGATAAGCATAAAGAAATACCAATCATAAACTTATCAAAGAAAAATCATATTAATCCCATCTTTTTCTCTGCATATATATTTTTTAAATGGATCAACTACTTTTCTGCCTAATATAATTATCCTCATTACTATATCACAAGTCCTTCTATATCATTTCAGAATTTTTTTTTTAAATGAGGTCTCCCTATGCTGCCCAGGCTGGTCTTGGACTCCTAGACTCCTAGACTCAAGTGTTCTTCCTGACTCAGCTGGGATTACAGATGCATGCTACCAGGCTCAGTTTCCAATAATTTCAAGTGGCTACATTATAAAATTATAAAAGGGTATTGTAGTTTATTTAATCAATGCCCTTTTGCTTATTAGGCTAATTCTAATTTTTGGCTCTTACTACAATACTGGGAATAATATTCTTATAATCTCAACATTTTTACATAGCCTCATTTATTTAAGGGTAAATTGCTAGAATTAAACTTTGCTAACATTGAATCTGGAAATCACCATAGATTTGAGTTCCTGCTCTTCCATGTACTTCTATAATCCTAGACAAGTTATTAAACCTCTCAGCATCTTGGTTTTCTTATCTGTTAAATGGAAATAAAACAGCAGTTACCTTCATAAAGTTGTATGAGAATTAAATTATGTAAGGACCCACAAAGCAGAGTCATTGCTCAATAGATACAGCATTTTGGGTTATTTTATTCTGCAATCTGTACACCATGTGCTAATATTTTGTAGCTTTATAAGAGTACTTTACTCTTAGGCACAGCAAATCACCATGATAACTCCTCTCTTCCAAATATTTATGGTTATCTTTGGATTTTGAGGGGATTTTTTTTTCCTCTCTGTGTACTTTATAATCATTTAGTCTTCCCTCAAAATGATATTGAACTTAGATGGGATTACAGAGAACATATGTATCTATTTGAGGCAGAAGTAATATTTTTATAACATTAAGTCCTTCTATCCATGAATATGGTATATCTTCATTTTTTCCGTAATGTCCCTTGGGAAAATATTTTTTTCAATATTGGCTCTGTTTTTTTTTTTTTTTTAATGGTAGTGTTCAAAATCCAGGACCTAGAAGCAAATGTTCTACCACTGAGCTCTGCCTCCAGCCCCTGCATAAACTTTTGTACATTTCTTGCTAAGTTTATTCTTAGGTATAGTGCTCTTGTTAATAATATATTTTTCAATCATATTTTATGGCTGGGTTATTGCAAATACATGTTTATTTTGGAAGTGGTTACATTTTGAGTTCCCCTACTTCTAATAGCTTTTATTTCCCACCTTCTTTATTTTATACTGATATCCCTGCAATAATTTATATCTGAGATTCTTCCTTTCTATTCATTCCCTTAACAAAGACTTAAGTGTTTACTATGTTAAGGCACTGTGATAAGTACCTTAAATCCTCAAATAGTTATTTCCCCTGAGGAATTTACCTCAGCTGATATCAGATACTAACTCTGTTTCTAGGTACACAGAACCATGGCCTAAGTTCATTCTTTCTTTCTCTTGTGTTTTTACAACAGCAATGGAAATATGATTTCTATCCCATAAAAGTTACCCTTCTAAAGTACACAATTCAGTAGTTTTTAATATAAAGATATGTAACAAATATCACTATTTTTAGAACATGCTCATTACCCCAAAAATTAATTTCTTTCCTTCCTTCTCCTTCCTTCCTTCCTTCCTTCCTTCTTCCTCCTTTCCTTCCCTTCCTCCCTCCCTTCCTTCCTTTCTTTAGCAGTATTAGGGTTTGAACTCAGAGCCTAGCAACCTGCTAGGTATGTACTCTACCACTTGAGTCATGCACTCAGCCTTTTTTGCTTTGTTTTTAAGATAGGGTCTCACACTTTTGTCTGGCTGATCTTTGACCATGATCCTCCTACTTCTACCTTTCGAGTAGCTGGGATCACAGGTGTGTACCACCATGCTAAGCCACAGATCTTCTTTCTGTCTCCACAGATTTGTTATTCTAGACACTGCACAATATGGAACCATACAATATGTGGCCTTTTGTGACTGGCTTCTTTACTTGGCATAATGTTTTCAGGCTCATGGTGAAGTGTCTATCAATCAGTACTTCACTCCTTTCTACATAGAGAGCATATCCCATTTGTATATGGATGCAACTTATTTTGTTTATCTATTTATTAGTTGATGGTTGTTTTCACTTCTTGGTTTTTATGAATAATCCTGCCATGGACATTTATGTATAAGTCTGTATGTGAACAGAAGCTCTAATTTCTCTTAGGTAGGTATTTAGAAGTAGAATTTCCAGTTAATAAGGTGATGTTTAACTTTTTGATGAACCAACAACCTGTTTTTGTAAAATAACTAACA